GCCAAACACTTTTCCCCGTTCCAAAAGGGTTAATATAGATTGTAAGGATCGTGGAATGTGAAATGTCCACGGTTACCTCAAAATTTCAACGAATTTATAGTCGTCAACTTGTCGCTTCCACGCGCAGACGTCCTTGAGGCCTCCACTTTCGAAAGAAGGAAAAAACGAAGAAAACCGAGGAACGCCAAAAGTTGAACGTATGCTAAGCGAGTAGCCGTCTTGGTCGATTCGGAATTCACTTTCCTTCTTACCGTGGAATTAGAACTCGAGCCCGTGGAAATTGCCGGATAGAATCGAGCAAATCGGGCGTATCTGTAGATCGATGAAACAGCCATTACGAAATTGGGGTTGATTCTTGTTTCGACGAACGTTCATTGTGTTTCGATGCAGGAGGAAAGAGTACAGATAAAGGAAAATCGAGAGGAAATTATTATTTTCTTTTCAGAAGATTATCTATCTTGATCAGAGCCATGAATTAGTACTCATAATTTGTTTATAGGTTGCCAGTTGTTTACAAGATGTCAACTATTACAAGTATTACTTAGAAATTTTCTTAAATGAGTTTCTAAATATGGAATAAATTGTTATATTGAATATTATCAACGTGATCTTTATTCTTTACATCGGAAGAGATATAATAACCATGTAACGTCAAGATGAGCTCTTGATACTGATTTTTTCATGGACATTTAGCTTTGTAAACCTCAGACTGCCCACTACTTATTTTATATTTCAGTACAAGCGAATATTTGTATTTCCATACTTGCTAATTATAAGCGTACCCTTTATTACACGAGAAATAATAAAAGATTACACGGAATGTAATAGAAAGTACACATGTAACCGCGAAACGTAAAAATGCGAAGACCATCGTAAACCACGGAAAAATTGAGTAATTAGTAATTCAGCATGTGAAAGTTGGGATACACATATTTCACCGGCGTTTAATGTAACATAAGGCGTGCGTTAAGCCAAGAAGACAACTAACCGCGCAATTAAAACGAGCTTACGTATCAGCCGCCTCAATCAATGGCTCGAAATTACAAAAAAAATGTTGTGTATCGAACGGGTCTACAGGTAAAAATACACGAAACTCTCTAATAATGTATTAATTAAACAAATATTGCTGCAATGGGAATAAGAAGAAAGTCTGGTTAAAGGATATAATAATTAGCACCTGCGGGAAGTTGTTGAACCTTGCAAATGCGTACGACTGAATCAACCGGCTACTCGAATTTGCGGATTGATCGCGGAACGATCCACGGTTTCGCGAAAAATAACCGAATAACCTCGGTAAAAGGCGTGGCGTCGATCGTTTCTAAAGTGTATAACGCTCGCGATACGGAATCGGGGAAAGTCGTTCGCCATGGAAACGAGTCACGGCCGATGTGCCGGTTTTACGTAAGGTGAAAATCGTCTTTAAGCCGAGGGAACGCGGCCCGATGCAGAAGCGAGAAGGAAACACGCGCGCACGACCTTCTCCTCTTTACGAATCAAACGTCCGATGCAGCGGGACCGATTAAAATCTTCGCTAAAAAGATCTAGAGATTACCAGGTAAAATTATTGCGCTCGTTAAGTCTGGTTCCTCAATCGCGCTGAAATTACTTTCGTTCTGCAAAGAGCGGCTCACGCAACTGGGACACGATTTATTTCTTTCCTGACTGTAATTACGAAAAAATGGCACGAGATAAAGAGTTATGGTTCAGCGGGAATTGCATTTTGTGGGACATACTTACTTTCTTCTTGAATGCAAGTGCGCCGGTGCTTTGGAATGTTTGCAGCATTTTTTAATGGGCTTCTTCAGAGACGAATGTTCCTTCGAAAGTGTGTTGGTGGAGTTTGCTGCTTTTGTTGTTAAAATGTGGCGTTTGTGCTGTGTGATGTGTTGTAGATGGGGAGTAGTTTATTTAGAATAATGTAATAGAAGTTTGTGCTTTCGTGATTTTGGGGTTTTGGGTTTTTGGGATTTTGAGACTTGAGATTTGGGACTTCGAAACGTTAGTTTGGAACGTTAGAACTTTAGGACTTTGTAACTTGGAGACCTTGAGACCTTGGAACTTTATAACTTTGGAATTTTATAACTTTATAACTTTATAACTTTATAACTTTATAACTTTAGAATTTTAGAATTTTGGAACTTTAGAGCTTTAGAATTTTAGAACTTTAGAACCTTAGAACTTTGGAACTTTGGAACTTTGGAACTTTGGAACTTTGGAACTTTAGAACTTTTCAAATTTAGAACTTTGAGGCGTCAGTAATTTTGAACTTTGGAACGTTGGAACTTTACAACTTTACAACTTTTCAATTTTAAACCTCGAACCATCCTACTATTGTCTACTCCATTCCATCCCCATAATTTCCATCTTTCCAATTAAATTTAAAAAGATATTGTGCGAGGTGGTGAAAAGGTGATTAACTCTGGTGTCCAGAAATAACTTCAGAGGCAATCCTGTCCAGTCGGCACGTACGTTCCCGACAAGTATTCGGAGTTATGGCACAAAAGACGTCGGGTCTGATCAGAAATTGCACGCACGTTAATGGCGACCGTGTTCACCGATTTCGTATTCACCTCGTGCGTCCCCGAATCGGCGGAGAAGGGATCGGTCTACAGTTTCGTGATGTGCCACGCGAAAGAGTAGCACTGGGTGGCTCGCGGCGTGCGCCGCTGCTACAACCTATCAAACTATTTTACGTATAGTTGTCGTGGCTTCCATTGTTCCTTTCGCGTAGCCTGCGATTGTTGCAACAAGGTTGCAGTACGGTTTCAATCGTCACGAACCTCGGTCTGTTGGATAATCAATTAAACAAATCACCTGGCCAGCAATTATGTACTGTGTTGCATTGTTGGTGCTCGGGTTCAACGCAGAATTATGCGATTTACATGTGCAATGCAGTATGTTTCTCTTGTTTTACATTCATATCGAATGAAATACATCCATAGAAGAGAAATTGCACACGTGCAACCGCAAAGTTCAATCTGATATTCACTGTTAATCCACACTGTTTTTAAGTTTCTAATTTTTCTTATGAAATATCGGTATTTAGAAACAGTCATTTGAATTTTTTTACTAATCCTTGCTGATGCATGTGTGTTACAAGCATTGATATTTTACTTATTTCATTTATTTCATTATTTCATTATTTTCCGAGCATCCGCGTAAAATCAGCTGACTATTATACTTTACCCCATGCAACATCGTATTATTCAATCAGTTGTTACTTCATCGAAGATTACTTTATTCAATCAAGTATTACAAAATTCAATTCGCATACCTTTCAATCAAATTCCAAGCCAACCGACTCGCCGATTCCATTTAAAATTCGCTAAGAACATCGTCAAACATCGTCAAACCTGTTTTATCATTGTCAAATCCTCCGTCGATCTTTAAAAACATTCTTCACGCGTGTCAGGCAGAAGCGAAAGCGCGTTTCCAGCGTGAACCACACCTGCTCCTGCATCGCAGGCCCTCGCTGCACTTGAAATCCACGACGCCCAGGGCGATGCGGCAGCGGCGAGCCGATTTCGGCCGGTGTCGAAAGAAAGCGAGGATCTTTGGGTGTAATTGGGCCGAGGCCCCGTCCCAGCGGGAATCGGGGAAGGCCTCGAGCTGGATTCCAGGAGGAAGCGCGCAAAAACCGGGAAAAGCAGCCCGTCGCGCCGGAAATATTGGGTTGACGAGAAAATCTTACCTTGTAATATGACGTACAGTGCGGCCAAACGGCCGTTTTCCGGACAAAATTCAATAACTTAGAAAGTACTAGTGATACAAACAAATGCTTCAGACAAATGTTGTGACGTATAGTGTTAAGCATATAGTGGTTATATTTTGTTTAAATTGTTAGAGTATTGCGCAGTTTTTTCAATCACAATGGATATTTTCTGTTTTGATTCAGGCGTTATATAAATAGAAACGGAATTGATTTGCAGAAGATTTTGATTTTTCAAATGAAGATCATTTTGTTTAAGGGACTACTTAGTTAACCTATCTTCAATTTTCGTTATGTGAATATAATAAGATCTCGTTTCTTCCATTATAACGTCTGGCTGAATTCTATGATTCGAATATACGATTTCAAAGTCTATAAAAATTAATTTATGAAACGAAGAATGATTAAATGTAAAGGTCACATTGACTTTTGAGAGGTGAAAAGGTTTCGACTATACTATTCTGCGTACTTCTCCCCTTATTCTACAATGTTTCAGCTTTAATTAGAAAAATTTCATTGTTCTGTTTCGATTGCATTAAAAGTTTTCGAATTTTGACCCAAAAATTGACCAAATGTTCTCTCTGTGCGGAGTTTTGTGCTCTCTGCGAAACCGTCGGGCACCGTTACGCGCGGGCATACCGTCCGTGCACGCTCGACCTGAATTATTTCCGCTGCAACGCGGCCATTGTGCCCGACACGAGTAGTTTCGAGCACGCCGCCATGGACCGGGCACATGGCCGGTTTTTCATCGATCGTTTATCGCCGTTGGTTGCGGACGAGTGGGACCATTGTCGACGAATCAGCGTTGAAGATGAAATTTTGCGAAATATACATCTTCTGATTTATTACCTTTCCCGTTCGTATAATACGAAACTTTGAGCAGCAGATTTGAATTTGTTTAAACCTGATGGAATTTTAATTAGAGTCTTCTTCTTGGAGATTTTGAATCCAAGAATGAGCCTCTGTGACTCTTGGTATCGCAAATTTCAGGAAACTTCACTTTTTGCCTTGGTACTTTTTAAGCTCGTATAATACGAAACTTTGAGAGGGAAATTTGAATTGGATTCGTTGTTAACTGCAACTTATTTTAAAGCTTTTTGCTTGATAAATTGATTTCTTTCGATACAATGCTAACCAACATTTCATAGAATATGTGTCAGTTGCGTTGTGAGTCTTCGTATTCGTATAACACGAAACTTTAAGCGGGACATTTGAATTGATTTGAGTCGAATTCAATGTTTCTCCTAATTTCTTTTCAAGATGATTGATTTGTTGTTCGTCTCTGTTTCAGGCTGAAGGAATTGATCACCTGGTAGCCATGAACCTCGCGCTGCATGGATTTTTGTTGCAGGGTGAGTGTCATCAGCTTCTAACGCAGTTAATGCAGCTTGCATGCATTCTCGTTTCTGCGCGTGGAAAATGAGATCGCAGGAGCAGTTTTATCTTGTTGCTGCCAATCCCGAGTAAGTTTCGGACCCTCGTGCTCGCATATGCCCCTTTTTGCGGAATAAAGCGATGCAATATGGTGCATCGCGCGAACAATGCACCGAGAAGGAACTTGCACTCGTGTATCAGGGGTTGACCTAACTCAACTTCGGTCGTTGCATACAAGGTCCTCGAAAGAGGGAACGGAACAATGCACGGAAGAAGTGCATGATGCATGCGGCGAGTTTTATGCCTCTCGTTGCTCAGTTTCTTAACACCTGACATGTGGAGCTGACGTTTAAAAAATCGATGCAATAATGCATTCACTGCATGGCTATTTAATTTCGTGAAACTTTTTATTAACCTTCACCTGCATTTTCTTCATTCAGACCTAACTCTAGGTCTTTCAATATAGATTAATTGAATCGTAAAGCTTAAAATTATAAATAAATAAATAATCTTTTCGCTAGCTGAAAATTCTGTTCAAAAATTTATTTATCAAACATTACAGATTCATTCATTTCTTCGTTTTATTAAATTTACAGGTTAAAAATTGAAGAATCATAGATATAAAGAAATCTTCTTATAAAGAAAAATCTGTTATAGAAAATTATTCACTAATCTAATCTATATCTGATATTAGAATCTTTATCAATTGAAAATTATAAGTATTTCTCCTGTACAATAGAATTCCAAAATATTCTTTGTTCTATAAAAATGTAAGTTTACTATGCAGAGAAATGTCTTTTCTATCCTCAGTGTCTATGTTATGAGGTTTTCAATTCGCCAGAAGAAAATTAGCTAACGTGCCCAGACGGCAATCGCGCATCACCGTGTTAACTGGGTTTTCGTGTCGAGTCAAGGTGTTTCCTACGTGAATGCAAAGACAGCGGTGTATGCCGGGCACGATATAAGAATCTCGAATGAATCGAGTCGCTGGGAGGAGCGGAGAGTTCGCAGAAGCAGAAGGAGAATCGCGAATGTAATTGTTATCACGTTACGCGAGGACTTCATTAAGCAATTCGCCAAGTTTCTTAAGCATAGCTTTATTGCCAAAGACCCGGGGCTGATTATTGAAGATGTAGAAATGTTGCTAACAGAGCGAAACGTTTAAAATAATTACACCGGCTACAGGAATTTCCCCTGGGAATAATAAAGGAGCAATTATGTCGTGTGTGCTGGCGATTTTCTGGAAGAATAATTTCGTAGAATTAGCCTCAGGAGTGATATTAGTCTTTGCTTTTATTTTATTGCGCAATAACGAGGCATTAAGTTTAACTAGATGTCGTAATTATACAGATGTTTCGCCTGTTGGTGACGTGCTTGATTAAATCTACGGAATATCATAAGCCAAGTAAGACACGGTACTTTATTTTCACGATCCGCGCAGTAACTTTCATACAGTGGTGATTCAGCGGTCTTAAACTCGTTCCGTACGTAGAATACGCGTTATTCCCCGCTGGCGAACCTCATTTCCGCCAATTTGGGTTGAGTTATTAACCAGCCAGCTACTTTTTTTCATGGATTCATTAAAACATGCAGAAAAATGTCAACTGAACGAAGCTGGGAGTATATTAATAAGGAGAAAGAGACTTTCTAAGAGATGCGAGAAGTATTTGGAACTTTCAGGGTTTGAGGAAGTTTGGAATGATAGGACTGAGCAGGGGTAGTTTTAAAAGTTTGTAGTTTATCAAGAATTTTGAATCGTTACATCTTGAAATATTGAGACTGTATGATTTTGGGCTTTTTGGAGTTTAGGATTCTGAAGTTTGGACTTTAAGGTGTTGGAGTCTTAGGACTTTAGGTCTTTGGAACTGATTTTAAGGTATTTTGGTTTTTTTAAGAATAACCTCTTGATTCTTTGAGAAATTGGAACTTTAAAATTTGGAGAATTTTGGATTGTGGATCCTTGAATTTTAGAATCTTTAGATTCTAACTTCTTAGACACCAAAAAGCTAGAGATACTGGGTCGTTGAGATCTGCAAATTTCGAAATTTTGCAGTCTTAGAACCCATAAGTTATTGAAACTTTGAAAACTTGAGACTCTGTAATCTCAAAATTTTCGAATTTTAGATCTTTGTGACTTTAAAAACATATATCCTTGAAATTCCATTAAACTAACTTCTCAAACCCCTAAAAGCTCGGAACACTACACAATTATTATTATTAAACTCAGAAATTTTGCAATCTTAGAACCCTAAGTTCTTGAATATTCGAAAATTTGAGATTCTACAAACTCCAGATCTTGTAATTTTATATCTCCGAGACTTCGAGACTACAGATCCTTGGAATTCCATGACCTCTAGACCCCAACGTCTCAAACCCCTAAAAGCCAAGAACACTTCCATTAAAACCATAAAACTCAGAAATTCTGCAATCTTCGGACCCTAACTCCTCGAAACCTTTAAAACTCAAGGCTCCGGAACCTCTACGTCTTCGACACATGCAGATTATAAATCCATAAAACGATCTCCGCCACGTCCCAAAAACCCAAAGACCCTAGAACACATCCCAAAACGAAATTTTTCAATCCCAGCTCACCTCCTGAAATCCTGAAATCCTGAAAACCCTAGATTCTGTGTGGTCCCCGGTAAAACCGGAAAATTACAGAACCCTCACCCTACGGTCTCCCAGTTCATCTGACAAAGCCTATTCACCCGGAGCTTCGTACCACTTTATCCCAGTGAATTCGCGGATCTACGCGAATAAACTTGAAAGCTTGTATCCTGCACACTGAAAAAGGACTCCGGCTCGCTGGAGCCTCTTTCAAGCGACAGGATTACATCAAAAGGGGGGCTGCAGCGCCATCGCTATCTACAATAAAATTCCAAACAAGTGGATGTGCTCGTCCCACGTGTTTCGACCGCGATGCATACGTTTCACGGACGGATGTCCCACGAGGCAGCATTCCATTGGCCGGCCGCAGTCGATGCAACTTCCATTTAGCTCCTACGTAAACATAAATATATGCGAACGAGGCTCGCGCAAAGGTGGTTCGGCACGTTTCGCGCGGTAATCTCGGCTGGTGGTCCAGAGACGCGGCCGTTCCAGCGTGTACGGCCGCGGTAATGAATACAAATGTCTTCGTTCCAATCGGGGATCGTTCCTTTATCGATCCTTGCCCCGCGATCGACGGCTCCTTTTTTATTTCGATACGGTCCGACCGAAAATATCTCGCCGCTTCTGTCACTGGCTGAATAAAGTTGCTTTTCTGACGCTTTAGGCTTCACGCTTCTCGGAAATTGGGGAAATGTGATTTCGGTGGAGAAGGATTTTTACTTAGGGATCGTCGAGGATGCTCTTGTGGTTTGGATGGTTTGTATGCCTTTGCGTTGCGAGTGTTTTGTGCAGTTTTCGAGTATAATTGTTGTATTGGTGATTTTATTATTGTGGTGGGTACTAGGTAATTGAATTGAGAGTTTCTGTGGCTTTTTTATGGAATTTAGGGTGGTTTCTTAAAGGATTATGGAATTACTTCGAATTTCTATTCCTTGAATATTTATTTTTGTGAGAAGTTGATTTAGGTAATTTACATTATGTTTTCGTATTTTAGGCATTTTGTGCAATTTTGCACGTTGCTTATTGTACTCAGTTATTAGTTTAATTGTTATGTTAATATATAATCAAGTATTTATTTTTCTAGTTTCTTCTATAGAATTTTCACTCTTCCCTTAAAAAGTTTACCCAACTACTTCCAAGCTCTATGTTTTCAGATTCCCACGTCAATTTACGCGTTGAAAACGGAGAATTTGCATGAAAATATTGTAATGTCACGGTTTGAACAGATGCAAACGTTTCGTTCGCTAAAAACTCGGTAAAAGTACGGAAACGATGAGTCAAAAATGCACGATACGCGGCCGTTAATTAAGCCAGGAACAGTCGAGCGGATAGACGAAAGTCAGGGCTGCATAATGTAACGGCGCAGCTGCGTGCAATGCAATTGAGCCACATCGGCTCGGTGGAAATCGGCGAGGAAAAAATCGGATCGGGCAACGGAATCCGGGAATTCGCGGTGATCGCTCGATACTTTTTTGCTAGCTCTCTTGAATAACAACGTTGTTATTACGATAATCGCGAGCCCCATGCTTCGCATTTCTATCTACCTTGTCATTTACCGGTTTACTTTCATAATTGCTTGGTATGATCGGTTTGATACTGAAATTACAAGTGTTTAGACGCTATCCATTCGATCTTGACGAGCCTAACTAACGTTCAATACGGCTGTCATTGTACTGATACGGATGTGTATACATTGGTAGCGTGTTTTACTGTTAGTTGGATCACTTCGATTAAATCGAAACTTTTTATGGAGATTAACTATTAGTTCAATCCTTGTTGTATAAAATATCGTGTCAGACTTGTAACGAGAATTTTAAACTTAATTCGTAAAGCCTAAATGTTACTTCACGTGAAAAAAGATAAGTAACGTTTAGGTTTTATTTTTAAAAAATATGTAACATTTAGGCATCTCGAATTCGAAAACAAGATTGAAAAGAAATTAAGTATTCCTTTCCTATTATTTATTGTTAACTTTCAGAGCAAACGTAGATAAAGATTAAGTATTAAGTTCTCTTCCTTTCATAATAATTGATTAACAAAATGGTTTCATCAAACAGAAAAGAAATTATAGGACAAGGGGTTAATAGTTTCTATTTGCTATCGATTATAAGGGATTTCCTTGTACAAATTAAAAATGCACCTTCCTGAAGAACTTGAGATTTATCTAATATATATAATACACAGCACGATCCTGGCATTCTTGATCCAGTTCTAATTAAAACATTTGTATTTAATCCACGCCTGAATTAATTCTGTGTAATTTAATCCAGTTATACCGTGTCCAACGGGGTCTATGCTATTTTAATTTAAACCAAATGCAGCTAACTAGAGAACCCAACAGCGACGTAATGTGCTATGATCCTAATGC